AACTTATATAAATAATAATTGAAAAAAACTTTTCTTATGTAAAATTATTGTCAAATTTTTTTATTTAATAAAAAATTTCAATTACTCTTTCTATTTATTTTTAGTAAATTTAGTTTTATTTTTTTATTTTTATGACATAAATTTTGAACAAAAATTTAATAATCTATATGAATAATAATTGAAATTTTTTTAGTCCCTATATATGGTTCTTTTTAAATATTGTTATTTGATCAAAAAAATTTTCACTTGTTATTCTTATAGATTATTAAATTTTTATTTTAAATTCTTGTTTAAAAAATTAAAAAATTAAATTAAATCTATTAAAAATAAAATCAAGACTAATTATAGAAAAATAAATTTATTGAACCCTTACATGCACCAAAAGTACAAGTTAAATACACTCTTAAAATAAACTAATAGCACTAGAGTTAAAATAAAAAAATATTTATTTATTTTAAAAAATAAAAAATTAAGAATGAATTTTAAATAAATTTATAATTAAAAAATCAACTATTTTTTATTAAAAAAATAATTATTATTTAAAAAAAAAAACTCTCTAAGTTGTTTAGCTCGCACAATATTTTTTTATTAATTAAACAATAATAATAATTATCTATTTGTACACGAGGAATATGAACCACACGTGGTAAAATACCCCCCTCACTCCATCCCGCGTTATCCGACTTTCACTCCTATGATCATCTGCCACGTGTCCCTCTACTCTTACTCTTTGCGACTTCCAAGGTCCAAACGCGCCTCGTTCGCTTTGACTCTTCCTACTCCCAGCCAAACACTGCATCTCCCCAACCTTCCCCCGTATATATATATATAGCCGCAAATTCCACTCATCCACAACACAACACACAACGATCCAACAGGACATTATTGGAAAAATCAAAGCAGACAATCAACTTTTCTGAAGTCAGCTTCGGATTTTAACTGTTGGAGTTGTAACAGGAAAAAAGAAAAAAAAAAAAAACAGAGCATCAACAACAATGGTGAAGAGCACGAGCGAGAAGCCTGCTGAGAGGAGCGATTCGAGGTACAAGGGTGTCCGGAAGCGGAAATGGGGGAAGTGGGTGTCTGAGATAAGACTGCCCAACAGCAGGGAAAGAATCTGGTTGGGGTCATACGATTCCGCCGAAAAGGCGGCTCGTGCTTTTGATGCCGCCCTTTTTTGTTTGCGCGGCCGGACTGCCAAGTTTAATTTCCCTCACAGTCCGCCCGATATAGCCGGTGGCAGGTCGCTGACATCGGCCCAGATCCAAACGGCGGCAGCCCAATTCGCCCACTCTGCCCCTTCAACTACTCACTCGGAACAATCCACTTCCGAGCTCCAGACAGAGCCACCGTCGACGTCGCCGTCGCCGTCGCCGTCACCGTCGCCGTCACCGTCGCTGTCGGTTTCAAACGAGACGGTTCAGTTGAATTTGGATGGTGAGTTACCAATGGATATGCCGTTCTTGGATCTTCTGAGTATGGGTTCGGGTCCTTTCGAGTCGGATTATGGGATATTTCCCGGATTTGATGATCTTTCTATACCTATGCCGACGATTGATTACGGAGAGGAGATTTTTGATGCCTCAACAACACAGGGATCCTTTCTCTGGAATTTTGATGCCTGTGCCGGCGCAGCTGCTTCAGGTTCCGGACATTTTTTTTAGTTTCTGGAATTCCGGCGGTATAATGACCGCGAACATTGGATCTGGCAATTTCGGGCCAATTTTTTGAAGGGCCCTTGTTTTCTCATTTACCACGTGCCTTAAATGTAAAACAGTGTAGGAATTTTTTTTTTGTGTAGACTTTATTAAGTAATTCTTTCAATTGAATTAAAAATACAATTAATTTTAAAAAATAATATATATCAATCCCAATTCTATAAAGTTTTAATTTTAAAATATTATTTTTTAATAAATATTTTGAATATTCAAATGTAAGATTTAGTATTTTAATCATATAAATCATATATATCAATTATCATATTACTTTAATATATTTAATTAATTTATTAATTATATATTAAAAATTTTAATTTTTTAATCAATGATTGTTAATATTAAATTGATTTAAAAATTAACATATGTAATCTGTATAAATTTATCATTTAATAAAACAAGTGACTTTTCTAAAAAATTCTTTAAAAATATATTTTTAATTAGAATACTATAATATTAAAATTAATATATATTATTCTCGCAACTTTATATGGAACCAATTATTTCCATCATTTTCCATCCTATTAATTTTATTTGTAAGGTTTGAAAAGTTTTAAGTAGCACGAATGGTTGCTCCCTAGCTATATAGAATTTTTCACTAAACTTGACTTCAAGTCTTCCCTTTTCTAAACGCCCCCCCATGTATTCCTGTTTCAAAAAAAAAAAATTCTACTAATGTTTAGTAGAGGAATTCTTTTTCATTTTTTAAAAGCAATAGGAGCCTGGGTGTAGAGGCAGTCAGGGGAGACTTATAAAGTTCAAAGATGTAGACAAGTGGCGATGGCAAAAAGCATTTCAAGGTGGATGGGCACACAGGGCAAGGCAAACGGATGCTTCGATGAACTGGTAATTTGTCTTAATCTTAATCTGGACGTAACCAAGAAGCCTCCTCTTTCTCAACATCCACGTGCTGAAATAGGTTTATACACATGGACTAATTAATGTCGCTACAGTGCTTAAGAGCCTGAGACGAATCTTCTGCTTTTGAAACTTACTAGAATCCAGTCATTGCCGGGAACCTCAACCAAGTTGAACTTCCCTGATACGCCGCCAGAGGTCCAAGGGAGGCCAATGAGCTGATTCCGGCTCAAATTCAGGAGGCTGCCTTAAAACACTGCTCTCGAAGGGGATGAAGAAGATTCAGAGAGGCAGGTCAAATGGGGATTCAGGTGATGGGTCCTGGTGGTGGTTACTTGGCATGTGTACATTTTAAGACTTTCCATGTTTCTTCCTGCAAAATAGATATATATTTTCAGCTAAATCACGTAAGAAATTTAGTGACAATGGAATCTTCTAAATAGAATAAAAGATTAAAAGTTTGAGTCGTAATTATGCAAATAAGGTGCATAAGAAACAGAAAAATGTTATTTTTTATTATAAAATTTATAATAATAAAAAAAAAAAA